TTTCCCCGTGCTCTTCAAATTTCAGCTGGTTGCATGCCAATGCTGCGGCGAGTCGCAGATCACAACAGAAGACCTAGCCATGAACATTCAGCAACGTGAATCAGATTTGCCCACCAATGTGACCCTGCCCCAGCTGGCTCCAAGGGACCAAGATTGTTCATCAATTCCGACAGCCACACTGCTGTGCACAGGTCACTGCGCAGCTGGCATTTCGGCATGCCCGAAACCGCGAGGCCAGAGCCAACGCATCCATGAACCGTGCTTTGCGCACCTTCGCTGCTTGGTGCAACTACGCTGCACGTCAACGGCAGAAGCGCGAGGACACAGGAAAACTTGTGATGGATGCAACCACGAGTCTGAATGCATGTGGGTGTGAACAGAATTCCGGCAGCCATCGGATCCTGCAACTCTTGCAGGGTGAAAATTGAATCCTTGACGGTCGCCCAATTGTTCGAATTGCACCGCCCAATAAATCGGAGGTTTCATGTGTGCCGCAGTGAAGCTTGCGCGCCTGTGGGGAGGATGGACAGATATTCACAACCAATGGGTGATCAAGCAGTTTGAGGTAATGTTGGCATCTCTGTCGCCACCAACGTGCAAGGTTTGCGTGTGCTGGTGGATTGGCTCCCTGTCTGGGTTTTTCGCCACCTCACGAACACTGTGCTCGTCAGACGGCTCAAGCGGGTGCGCATTGGCGCAGTGTCGTGAAACGGCGGGCGTTGAGATGCTGGCATCTGCGCCACACACACGTGCAGCAAAAGAATCTCTCCAAGGCCATGTCTTCTGCCTGCAGGTCAAGCTGGCTTCGATCAAAAGCGCTTCAGGTTGGTTGCGGAACAATGATATCGGTATGACATGTGATTTCGAAGCGCAAATGTTACTGTTGTTGCATCGCAGCCATGCTCTACTGGCACATGCAATTGTAATGCTGACATCATCATCAGTACTTGCTCAAGCACCACTAGTGTGCTGCTTACTTCCGTCTTTCGCCTCCGAATGAGCATCTTGTACGTGTCTCCTGCGTGTGGCATCACGTCATTTGGAACAAGCACTGCTATCCGGTTGCGGTGCAGCACAATACTTAGGCAATGGTTTAAGTGACTCTGGGTAAGGTTAGATCAGTCTCGGTGTGATGCAGGCGTGGCGTCACTGCCTTGAAGCTGCTCGCATGAAATGCCAAAGGAATTCCCTGGCTGTCAGGCACTGGTACATGGCGATGCTGGAACGTTCGTTTGGGATATGGAAGTGAGTCGCTGAGGCGCGGGATGTCAACAAACCGCCTTCCATTGCCTGACCTGCAGTATTATAAAGTTCAATAATTTTATGAGAGGAAGTACGTTGCTTGCTGATTCTCAGCACTGACACAAACAAACTGAACACGTTGCTGCTGTCTTCTAGAGCCGTTCGTACGAGATTCTGGATTCCTGGATAGCATTCACATTCATTGGCGTTCCTTTGCATACATGCAGGGATTACAGGACAACCCGCCTCGGCAAGAAAGAGAAGGCAGCAGCAGCCCATCGCCTCCATCAATTGCAGCTTGTACGCGAGGGGGTCGTGCAATGGTTGCATGTTGGCCAATCTCGACAAGCAGTACGGCTTCAGGAACAGGGCAAAAAGCAGGTGGACGGTGGAACGCTCGCTACTGCGCAATTTAGTCCATTTCAGGCAGTCGCAGACAAGCAAGCAACTGTGGCACAGAAACATGCCTGGTGTGCGACGGCCCCGTGCATACATTTTTGTTGGCTTGGCCGCAGTTTCAAGCAACAGTCGGAGTTTCAATTTTCTAACAGAGAGCTTCTAATATGTTGCTATCACAGTTCGCAGTGTAAGCGAGATTTCACGGTCTATTTTCAATTCAGTTATGCCCTGTGTGATTTTACGCAGGCGAGTCTGCTTGCATCTGATCTGTCAAAGGTTGCACCATACGCCCTGAAATGGAAGAATTTGGCCTTGCATCGCAAAACTGCCCCAACTGTCTTTGATAGGGGCACAGAAGTATCGGATGCAGGTGAACCGCGACGGTCGTGTGATGAATGGCCACATCTAAGCAACGCCAAATCATCGGTTTTCCCAACGCGGATGCCAATACGTCGTCCGAAGGAGATCGCAGTGGATGTCGCATCTCGTCGAAAAGGAATCGGCCCATCTACGGTGCCTTTATTTCTGCAGAAGAAAGGGGAGCGACTCGAGGTGGGCGTTTGATTACCCCTGTTTTGCTTGCGGCTGCAAGCTTTTCGTGTCACGTGAGCCTGGTGCCAAGCAACCCGATAACAATGAGCTGTACCTCCGACACCCTGAGCTGTCCACCATGTGCCAGGCAAGATGTCCTTCATTCATGAAGAATCCGGAGCTCCGTACCACTGAAAGAGGGTATCCTCATGGATTTGAATGGCCAGCCGAACGGCGTGCATATTCACTGGATTCGCTTCTGCAATGCGCTGGAAGCGCATCGGCACAAATGGGCGAAGATCTGCTGCTGCCTGCGTCATGCGCTGTCAAGAATGATCATCGAGATTTCCCCGGCCACCATTCTCCGCATCTGACCTTCTCGGACGGCTTGAGGGCGAACATGCACGCGTGCAATGGATGGACAACTTCCAGCCATGGCTGCCCGAGCCCCGAGCATGAGCGCAGTGCAGGAGCCCCTACGCAATTTCGCTATTTCGCCGATTCCAGTTCAATCACAGCAAACCAAATGGATAATGGCAGCAGCATTCCAATCAAGGGTAGAACGCCAAGACAAGGACCTGCCGCATGGCGCCACTCTACTGTTCGTGAAGGACTCTGTGGGCTTCCTTTTTCGGCTGTTCCTAAGTACAGTGGCCTGCCTGAAGCGCTTCAATACGTGGAGGACTGGCGATCAAAATCTTCGGACGCCTCACTTGTTTGCACACCAGCAACTGTGTTTGATGGCGCGCCTCCATGGGCTCGCACCTGTTCAAAGCAGCCAGCACCGTGCCGAGACCGCACAAGCAGCCTGGAAGGGGAGGCATGTTGGATGGCGCAAGGCAGCAAAGTGGTGAGCGGAGAGCCGAGTGCACAATGGCCAGAGCAGCACCAGCCGTGGCGGAGCGGTCATCTTTGACCAACCATGACGATGATCGTTCCAATTGGTATGTCCATGCAAACGGATGCCGCTGGATCCCTCGCCTACAAACTTGATTGGTTTCATACCTATGATTAATTTCGGTGGCGAATTTGTATCACGCAAAGCGAGGCGATGACGCTTGATACCCAAAGGCGCAGGATACGGCATTTCTCATCAACGTTGTCAGAAAATATTCAATGTAACGGCTTCATTGTGGACATGTTGGCCTCAGCCCCGTGCACCACGACAGTTGCCGGGCCACGCCTCTTGCATGACACCAATGGCCACCATCACTGCATTGAAAATTGCGCCCACAAATGTGCCGTCGATCATGCGCATCGCAGTCGTGCAGATTCTCCAGCACATGACCGCCACCATCCATTCCATTTGTGCGTTCATCCAGCATGCAAACAACTGGCGTTGTAGGCGAAAGCCCAGAGCGCTGGGCACCGGGGCGCTGCCAATCCGTTTGTGAGCAGTTCGACTGATGATCATAGCCACCAGCGACCATGAGTATACATTTTTATACCATTAGACACTTCTGTATTCATTAGTTCGCTGCACGTTGCGATGTGTTTAAAACAAGGTAGATACTGTAGACCTTCGGAGCAACAACAAAAATTGGCTTCTGTACAAAGATCGAACTGGAGTTTGCAAGCTAAAGGAGCAGGGATACACCATGATGTGGCCACGGAGCGCTCCAACGGGAACTTTGCAGGTGCTTGCGAGGATTAGAGCAAGGCTGCACACATTTGTAGCACACGCCAAGAATGCAGAGTTTGAACCTTTCCGCTCATTTGTTTTGGACCTGCACACAGTCTGCGGCTTAGATTGTTGTTTCTGCTCAAACGGGCCTCCAGCGTGCAGTAACGTGTCAAACGACGGGATCTGCAACGCAACATTGATGCATGAGGCTCTCTCTCCAGGCTGGACCTATTTCCCGCCGCTGATTCTGGTTGTCGCGAATGCAGCAAATGTCTCAATCTTCCAAAACCACCGAGTCAAGGGAAGTGCCCTGCGTATCGCCGAATTATGGTCTGATGCATGCATTACACCACGAGCCACGTGTCAGCCAAGGCCGACATATCGATACTTTCCTGCTCATAATTGCATCTCCACAGTCAATGCCCCACACACTCCACAGGTTTACAGAGAGAGCGAGCAAACGGCAGAAAATTTTGAGGTACGGAGTGACTTGCCGTGACAGCAGTGACCAGCGATTACCCGTCAGAACACGAGCATCATGAACAATTGCAAGGTTTGGTTTCCAAATTGGTGCAATTTGCCTGGATTCCCCTGCAGCCTTCACTGGTTCCATGTGTTAAACGCAACACAAGTGGCTCAAGCTGCCGGGACTGAGCTCTACAAGTCATCATTGCCCCACACGACTTTCTGGTGCTGTTGCAAAGTACTGTTTGTGTCAGTTTGGGGTGCGCTGTGTTCTGCCATCTGGCGTCCATGGAAAATCGCGAAGCGGGAGTATTGTGGCGCAAATTTCGAAGACATCTGATTTGGGTGGGGTGCCAGGACGCCGGAGATGGCATTTTCACCTCACACGACACACACCCGACTTAGATTGGGCATTGCTCATTCTGAATCTCTCCTGCAATTCCCCAAAATTGCAAAAGTATCAACTCATGTCACAGGTCACTGCTCAATCCATGCTCCTGAGCCCCATTGCTCCCCTGTTAACATGTGCGCACGCAATCTACGAACGCACACACAGTGCTGTTCTCAGGTACTTCTATAGTGCTGCACCCAGTTTGAGCCATGAAACTGAAATACAACCCTAACACAGCATCGTTCGTCCCGCCATAAGTTGGTGCTGTGGCTGCCGTTTCTGCGTTTGAGCAACCCATGTCGACAAAAGCGCCCGCCCAATTTGGGCTGACATGGGCAGCCGTTGTCCTCAACACAGGAGTCTGTAATTTTCCAGAAGCTCCTCAATCCTGGCGAACACGGCACGGAAATCAGCCGCCTCCAGCCCATGCCGTTCGTAGTGGTGCAAGAAAGCACGCGACTTGAACATTTCCCAAGCGCGTCCTTGTGCTCGTCTTATAGGAACGACGCACCGCTGGCTGTTGCTCAGCATTGCAGCAGACATTTCACATCCCGCGTATCTCACTGTACTGGAACACACCCGAAGCGGTTCGGGATTCCAGCCCACATAGAGCGATGGGTCACTGAAAGCACTGGAGTCTGCTGTTCCAGATGCCTTGCCCCTGAGAATGAGCAAATTCGCAACAGACCTGTTCCTGACAGTGGTGGGATTGGAGCTGGTGCCCATTCGATTGTCTGCAGCGTCGCCCCAGCCATGAACCCCTTCCAGAGGAGCGCCTGTGGCAGCCATGTGCTTGAGACGCTTCAAGAGCGCCTGCCATGTGAATGTGGTGTAGTCCATGGATCGCGCTGGCACATGCGGAATGGAGCAAAGGCTGATCAGCTGATATCGCGGGTGCGCACAAAGGTGCTCAAGCCAGTCATGAAGCCTAAATGTTTGCCTTCTTTCCCCAGCCTGGCCCGGCATCCTGCAGGCCCCTGGCCAACCTGTGTCCCCTGCTGGGTTTGCTGCCCCAATCGCATATCTCCTTGAAACACCACTCCCTAGCAGACAGCCTGCTTGTGCCGCTTTTCCACCGGGTGAGCGAGTCCGGGAAGGAAGGAGGGCACACACCAGGGACTTTGTGGCTACTGCATTCATATGTGCGAATGCTGGCCGGCGGAGCTCGTACAGCTGTTGACAAGCTTGGTGGAGAACCTCGTTCTCAACGATGGCCACGCCATTTGCATGTTCCAGCAGGTGGCTCACCGTCAGCAATGCATTGTAGTTCTGCACAACCACCTCCCCACTGGAGTGGGGCCATACACAGTGGTTGAGAATGGAAGCAAAAGGGAATTCGTCCCGGAGGGTTTCAGCTATTCGGGCACCTAAACCAGCCCCAGTGCCCCCAGCCATGCTTTGCAGTGTCAGCAGCCCCCCCAATACATCACACTGCTCCACTTCCCTTCGGACAATGTCCATGGCCGCCTCCTGGACAATGTTCCCCTGGCCATTGAAGCCCAGGGCCCAATTGTTTCCAGACCCGCTCTGCTGTGTGAACGCGCACCGTGGTGAATAGCTCCAATTTGGGCACAGCCTGTGGCCAGACAAGGCTGCATGGACCGCCTTGGGTTCAGTATCAATGAGCACCGCCCTAGCAATTTGCCCACAGCATGAGGGTGACCTTGCGTGGCGAAAGAAGACGTCCCAATCTTGTGAATCATAGCCAGGGCTGCATAGTTCCTTGGCCAACGTGTCAAGGAAGCATTTGCCCAGCTGGTTGCCACACTGCCCAATTTGAAGTGTTACAACAGACATGAACTATATGCTACCACATATGGTCCCACAGCCACAATCTGAGGCGCTAGTGTAAGTTTCAGCCCACAGATGGAGCACCAGAGGTAGCAACCCAGCACCACCAGAAGCAAATGTCAACAGATTCCCTTTGCGCACTGCACATCAAGACTTCAGGTGAGTCTACAGTAGCATTGGAGGCTGTCCAGAACTGTATGAGGAAACCATCTATCCACAGCAATTAAGTTGTAGTTTCAATCTTCCTTCCGTTCGCTGCCAACATTACCAGGCTGCTCCTGTGCAATCGGGTACACAGTATCAGTCTAAGAACTTGCATAGAGTGGACAGGAGATCACATGTGTATTGTGGTGGCACATGCTCTTTTCACATAGGCCTTCAGTTTGAGTTGCATTGTCCACCCTGGTCCCCAACTGCACATGCTGTCTGGCAATTGTATTGTCAGAAACGATAATGGTGGCGTGACGAAAGCAGTGGATCTTGACAATAATACCTGCCAATTTGATGCAAGCTTGTGCTTGTGCACTGCGAGCCAATTTATGCAGCAATTCAATGTGATTCTTCCCTCCTAAATACCAGAATGCAATACTGCGCGAGTTCTGAGAATTACTCAAGACAGGATATTGAGGGTGGGAGATGCACAGTCCACAACAGTCCTGATTAGCGACTTGCAGCATAAAACTCTCCACAAGTTTCGAAAACAAATGGAGGTGATGGCAACAAGGACATGTAGACATACACTTGCAAGGTCCAAATATTGGCTTGCCCAGCCCAATAGAGCATATCTTGATCTGTTGACAGCAGGCTTGATGTCACTTGGAATACTGTAGCCCAAAGCACACACGTGGCTGTGGGCGATTTGACAGCAATTCTTGTATGCTTGCATATGGGAGGGCTTCTTTCCCACTCTGCAGAGATAGACATGCTTTTGCTGATCAGACTGGAAACACAAGTGTGTGCACATTCACTTTTAGCGCCCACCCCTTGTTTACTGCCAGAACTGCCTTGATCTGGTGCCTTGGACGACGTTTCTTGCCCAGAATGTCCTGGATCTGCTGTGTCAACTTCCAATCCTCGCCAACTGCGGTGGACCACAGCAATGCATCACATGGTTAGTGCGAGAGCAATGCCATCGTATCAAGAGTTCAAATCTGACGACGGCACACGTCTGTTTAGTCCTGCACACCCTGGCCAACGCTCCAAGAGTGTTGTGGACTATATCATTGTCCAAGTGCTGCCAAATCAGCTCACAATCTCGCATCAGGCCTTGTAAGGCCCTGAAACACAAGCCAGGGTTCTTCTTGCCCCTGTCCCCTTTGAACAAGAACTGGCAACTGTGCTAGTGTGTGGTGAAGCAGGGGTGCAGATCTCTTGCCAACAACAGACACTGCACCCTGCGATACGCGGGTTTGCTCAGAGCTGTTCAATATACAACAATACAGCGTAAGTACACAACACGTGACAATCGTTGCAACAGCACAAGCTGAAGTTTAGCCCATCTTCACAGCTTCAGGCTGCTGAAGCATAGTGAGGAAGACTGTGAACCAACAGAGTTTCTCTGTAGGCATGCAAGTCGGTTGGTGGGATGGCCCTTTGAGGCTGTCTTATCATGTGCTGTCTACATGGGAGAGGATGTGTTGACAAACAAAATGCAATGCTATCCCGGTGTCCGATCTACCCAGGGTTTTCTCAACAGTCCGACGTGGTTGCTTTTTGGGACTGCTCAGACGTTGGCCAATTTGCGCAGCAGAAGCCGCAGTCACATCGCCCCCTGTTCTGTCCCGTGCATATTTACCAACAGACACCACGGACAGGGCATGGTCCCGAAACGCAGGAAGAGATTCAATGATTCAGATTCCGATCGCCAGTCACTGCATATGCTCTGCTTGGAGAACCATGACTTACACTCTGTATTTCTTCCTCCACCATGCGAGGGTCACCCATTCGCTCTTGAACCAAGTAAAATACCCTAAGAAAGCGCAGGAAATCGGAGTATTAATGCAGATTGGAGGTGTGCCTGCCGGCCAATGCTTCGGACAGCTTGTCGGCGATCAACGAAGGGTGGCACACAAGCACAAGGCCGCAGAGCATTCTCGAAGCCAGCGCACCGCAGGGAAGCGCCGCATCCTCTTGGGACCTCACATACCGTACTGATGCGCGAGGGTCACGAGAAATGGAAGCAACAGGTGCAGGGGGATGCAGACCGGGCCGATACAAATCTGTCGCAGGGAAAGTGCAGACTCGTCAAAGCCTTGTCGGCGATGTGCACTATGACGGTGGACAACCCGCACCAGGGCAGCGACTGAGGGGAGGAGGGAGGGAATGGGGCCTCGACGCAACACTTACAACTGGCATCGCACCAAGGAGTAAGTTGCACCGGCAGTGCAGGCAGCCAGGCGACACCGCAGCGGCAGAGCAGGACGTCTTCTGGGAAAAAGCGGGTGCTACCAATACTACAATGTCGTGGCAGTAACCCTACTTTGTGCCCATTGCCCGGGCGGGCGGCCGCCAATACGCGCCCCGCAGCGCGTCATTACTCCCCGCTAGCCCTGCTGACGACAGATCTCAGCCGCAGTGTCGTTCCCGAGCCCCGACAGACAAGGGCTTACGGCAGCCCCGATCGCCTTTCGCCCCGTCGCCATTCCGCAAACGGGGCCTTTGGGCAGGCCGCCGCGCGCAGTTTGCGCCTCAAGGGAAGGCCGAGGGCGAGATGCTGCCGCACGTTGCGCACGCGGGCCCGGCGACGGCGGGCAGGCACCCCGCTGCAGCGCATCCCCGCCGGCAGCGGCGGCGGTCCGTGTCGGTCGGCGCGGAGCCCAAGGGCGGGCGGGGCCCCCCGGACGTGCCGAGGATGAAGAGGAAGGGGGGCAGGGAGTGGCTGCAGCAGCTGCTGTCTAAGTTTGGGCCGATGACGGACCGCTCGCCCAACGCGTTCGTGCTGGATTTTGAGAAGCCTCTTGTGGAGCTGGACAACAGGATCAAGGAGGTGCGCAAGGTGGCGGAGGAGAACGGCGTGGACGTCACGGAGCAGATCGCGGAGCTGGAGGCGCGGGCCAAGCAGCTGCGCAAGGACACCTACAGCAGGCTGACGGCCACGCAGCGCCTGCAGGTGGCGCGCCACCCGAACCGCCCCACTTTTCTGGACATCGCCATGAACGTGACTGATTCGTTCATCGAGCTGCACGGCGACAGGGCGGGCCTGGACGACAAGGCGATGGTGGCGGGGATGGGCAGCATCGACGGGATCCCCATGATGTTCATTGGGCACCAGAAGGGGCGCAACACCAAGGAGAACATTGAGAGGAACTTTGGGATGCCCCAGCCCAACGGATTCCGCAAGGCACTGCGGTTCATGAAGCACGCGGACAAGTTTGGTTTCCCCATCGTCACTTTCGTGGACACGCCGGGCGCATACGCGGGCTTGAAGGCCGAAGAGCTGGGGCAGGGAGAGGCCATCGCACGAAACCTTTGGGAGATGTTCTCTTTCCGTGTCCCCATCCTGACCATTGTGATTGGCGAAGGTGGCTCGGGCGGTGCACTGGCCATTGCGTGTGGCAACAAGGTTTACATTATGGAAAATGCTGTGTACTATGTGGCCAGCCCGGAGGCATGCGCCGCTATCCTTTGGAAAGGGAGGGAGAAGGCGGGGGAGGCTGCACAGGCTCTGAAAATCACTGCGGGTGACCTCAAGAGGCTCAAGGTTATCGACGAAGTTGTGCCTGAACCTCTCGGCGGTGCACACTCAGACCCCATGAGTGCCTTTCCAGCTGTGAAGGATGCCATTATGAGCTGGTATGAGCAGTACAAGGATATGTCTGGAGAGGAGATTATTAGGGACAGATACCAAAGGTACCGCAAGTTTGGGGCCTACGCTGAGTTCGTCATCAAGGGGGGCCAGGTCTCTGTTGGCAGGGGGGACAGATACAAGTCAGACGGGGTGTACACCATGGCAGGCACTTGGGCTGCCAATGAGGAAGAAAAGGAGTACATTGAGAAAGCTGTGGACTATGAGGAGCAGTGGGAAAGCAACCTCAAAGGCAAGGAGGAGTGGATATGGAAGCCAGAAGTGCCTCGGGAAGAGCTGGAGAGTGCAGAGCGCAGGCTGGAGAGGGCCTTGGAGGCTGTCCGAGAGCTCAAGGATAAACCAACGGGGAGCACTGTACGGCCGCTAGTGATCCAGGAACTTGGAAAGATGGGCGTTGGCATCAAAGGGCAGAGTGCTCCTGACATGGAGGAAGCAAAGTCAAATGGAAAAGGTCAGCTGTAGCACATGATGCTTTGGTGTTTTGGCCTGGCGGGACAAGAGGCTTCAGTGCCCACAGTTCTTTAGGAGTGTAGCACGAATTGACAAATGAAAGTGTGTGCAGAATAGGTTGTCAGTCATAGATTGTGGACTGTTGACATGCATGGCTTGCTTGTGCTTTCAATTTTGGCGAAAATTCTGTACCAGGGACGAAATCATGCTCTACAATCAGTTGACTTCTAGGTTCGCTGTCCAAGTTCTAGCAGCACAGCTGCTGATACCGATGTACGGTAGGCTTGGAGACGAACTTACGGGCGCAAGACAGATGTCATATGTGCCCCCAACCGAACTGTGTGTGGTGACCATGGGGAGTCTGATGCGTACTGTACTGTATGGACATGCAATACATGGAAACATCAAGCTTTGCGGGTGGTAGAGCAGTGCAGAATGCAGCGTCACATATTTTGTCTGCAACGAACGCTTGTTTGTTTGCAGCTTGGCAGCCTATCACTTATCGACTGCTCAATTTCCACAGTTCTATGGCCAAGGACGAGTGCTTGGCACTTGCCAACCTTCGTGCCTGTCTGCTGTTTTTGGATATCTTGTCGCCAATATGTCCAGTGCCAGTAACGGGACCATGTTGTTTGGCATTGATGGAGTCCAAGAAAAATCAAGTGTCAATATGTGATGGGCAGCAGTAAGCACTTGGAACTAAGCGTGAGGCGAGTTTGTTTGGGAGCGATGTGGTACCGGTGTCATGAACAATGTGCGTACTTGCAGCAACATTGTCAGCTGCAATTCAACCAGGAGATCCACAATTCCAGAATGGCAGCTGCATGCTTTGAAAGCAAGGGCAACTGGTTCGCACCTATGTACATGTAACATTTGCCATTTTTTTACCATGGTGTTGGTTGCACGCAGTGCCACAACTGCACGTGATGGGACAGCAGCTGTTAGGGGTGCAATGTTGGATATCAGCAGTGTCAGTCGTATTCGCAGTACGGATGGCTAGCCATCAAACGTCTGCTGTGTTCATGAGGCGCTGGAACAAGCTGCTGGTACGACGATGGAGATGGCATCGATGTACAGGCGCAGTGGACACCCGTCTCAGCAAACCCCTTGGAAGGCGAGCAGAAGCCTTTCCTCATAAGGGGATGGGCAGTGCTTCGTAGGCTAGGAAAGGAGACGACCCTGTCTTCAAAAAATTGCTTGCGGGACGCCACAAAGAACGGTCGCGCCTCTGCCCAGTTTGCGGAAAGGCCTTACAGTAGGGCCGATCACACAACGCCGGCCAGCACACCACCTGACGCCGCGCCGGGGCGGAACCCCACCCTCACACGCAGCGGCCCCCCTCTCCACTTCGGCCGCCGATTCGACACCGAGACCAGGGCGCGGGGCCAAGTCGCCCGAGGGACCGCCCAACAGGCGCTTCCGATGGCTTTCCTTCTGATCTCGGTGAGCTTCCTTGCAGCTGTCTGCAATCGGTGCCCGCGCTCATCGGGAGATGGGGCCCCGAAGCACACCCGTTCGAAGATATGCATCGACCGGTGAAGCGCGGCCTTGGATTGCATTGTTAGTTCGATTCGCACGATGGCCGGCGCCTGGCGCAAGCGAGGGCGTGCGCCGGGCAAGGGGGCATATGTGCGCATCCAGCGGGACTCTTGCGGTCGATGTAGCGTTCAGCGTTCTGAGCACCAGCCCTCTCTGCGCGTTCCACACGGTAGACGCGTTGTGTGTTGGTGAGCAGCCCTCGCCGGTGACGTGCCGCCTGTGACTGCGCAAACGTTGCACCGCACTCTGGTCCTTGCAGCGATTGTTCGTGCCTGCCAAGTGGCATGGCGGTATGGCGAAGTCAAGCGCAGCCTTGCCCGATTGCGCTTTGAATATCGGGCGGGCAGTGCGTCGTCGTGCCGCCAGCATTGACACCAGACGTCCGTTTCCCAATGCAACCGCAGCCTCGCAAGAACACCGGGCTCAAGAGCCTGAAAGACACATGTTTGAGCACACTCATCGAACATCGCGACATGCTGGGTAAGTTGGGACGTGACCGTTTGATTGTTGTGATCTTGGCGTGTCTGATTGCAAGGGGGAGCGTAACCGTGGCAATTCAACATATTTTCTTGTGCCAGTAGGGGACTGTGGGGACGTCGATGGTGCGTTGCTCAAACAGGTGCTGGTGCACTGTACGCCAGAAAAGTTGGCAATCATCGAAGACATGACGAGGTGAGCCACACCATAATCGCTTCTTGTTGTTGACTGGCATTGCACATGGGGAAGTGTGTGGACGATTTTCCTCACGTGGGTGGCCATCGGCTGGAAGATGCAGGTGTTTGGTTTGCCTTTTGAACAGCACTATCAGGGGCTTACCTGCAATTGGACGAGGTTTCGCCAAACTCGAATCTTAGAGCATGCAAGCCGCACGCCGCCTTCGCTTTTGTGGGTATTCAACTGCAGTCCGGGCAGAAGTACATTGTTTGTGATGGTGAGCAGCAGGGATAGCACATACCCAGTTGTGGTACAACCGTGACCAAGAGTGCAGGCTTGCAAGACGTGCTCTCTGTGAAACCCCTCTGCTGCAGAGAAATGTGCCCATATTGCCCTTTCGCATTGTTGCATGTGTGGGGGTGAATCCAGGGAAGGGAGCTCAAGAGATTTGAGCTGGGACACATGGGACATATGGTGCAAGATGTATGAGGACAAGTTTGGTCCAGTGAGCCCCTCAACAAAGGTGAGGAGAACAAGTGACTTGGGGAGGGACCCAGCTAGCACTGCTAAGAATGGTGCTTGTTTGGCAGTGTCTATGAGAGCTACACCCTCACTGGAACACAGGTTGTTGAACTATATTTTGCATTGGTTCAATCTGGCTCTTCCGGATAGCTGAGAAACTTGCACTTTAAAATGGATGAAGCATGTTTGTCCAGTGACATGCGTGCTAGGGATAGCTCTCAGGTAGGCAATACCACAGTTGGTGCACATTGCTTTTTGTCAGTTCATCCACTGATTAATACATGTGCACAGCACTATTACTGAACAAGGGTCAGTTCAACTTGCTCTCTATCGTGACACTCTATTCCATGGCTATTGGTAATGCTGATAACACCGAGTCAGCTATCCTGTGCACTGAATGAGCAACTCAGTCAGTCTTGTATTGTCTCCAAAGAAAAGCCAACCTGGCAGTTCAGTGTGGGTGGGTGTTTGGGCTACACACTGGGTTTTACACAGGGTTAGGTCAGCTCTGGTCAGAGCACATTGCACACCAATATGGCTACTCAGCTGGAGGGGCAGACTGCACTGTTTTTGAGTCCCCCTTGATGCATTTGCACTGATCTATGCACAAAGTGTTTCTGTTGCTCGCTCAGCGTTCTTATGTCCATCGCTGGCTTGTGCCATTGTGGACTTTCATTCAGGTGCCGAAGCTGGCAGGTGCAAATGGCTTCAGCCATATTGTGGCGGGCAGAGAGCCAGGTATGAGCCTTTTGTTTACTTGCCGAAGTATTGGCAGTTCTAGAATGCCACGTTGTTGGCTCTTGCTTCACCGCTTTGGCACTTGTCAACCATCTGAAGGTCTTGGGCCATCACACTTGAATAGGGCACTGGGGAAACTGATTGGCGCAGGCCCATTCCAATGTTCAACTGAAATGTTCCTATGTGGGATCTCAGGCGGCCTGCATATTTGCCAGTGCTGCTATGGGCTGTGTTGGCCTCGCAGTCTGCTTCTGGCCTGCCTGCCTTGCGCCCACCACAATGAAGTTTACCCAAGACAGCTTTGTTCTTTGCCAATTTTGCTTCTTTTGGCATCTTGATGACATTGTTGATTGAGAGAAAGTATACACCCTCTGCGCAACGACAAGAATACATCCCAGGGGCCAGAAAACAGACACGTTACCCATTGCTGACAGTGGCAGATGTGCCTTTCGTACCGTAAAGCATGCACAGAGGGTACCGTTGTAGGTGGCGGAGCATGAATGCGAATACATTGGTTTCATGTTCAACTTGCTTTCCTCCATGGTTGTGGAGTTTGTTGCTTTGGTACTGGCTGTGAATATGTGAGTGGAAGGTATTGGACTGGTCCATGCTACTCTTGGAATCGCTGTTGCTGTGCTGCCCATCTGCCACTGAATTCTCTTGTCCAGTTGTGCATCTGGAGTGTGCTTTTGTACCTTTTGCGCTTCTGCATATTGTATTGTGTAGTATTGGTTGTGAATGATGGCGTTCCTGAAGGTAATTACCGCCTACTGTACCACCAGAAGATTAGAGAGCGGGAAACCAAGCGGAAGCAGATTGGTGAACGAGCGAAAGGCAAAATGGAGATGGAGAAGCAGGAGAAGGAAAGCAGGAAAGTGCAGGTAGGGAAGTGGTTTCATATTACGAAGGTTGCTACAAATGAGAAAGAAACGATGATGCAGTGTGCATTCACCTGTAGGCACAGTTCCATTTAAGATTTTCACAGCTTATCAAGGCAATCTCAGTGCTCATCCACAGGGATTGGACGTGCTGGGTGTTGTCTGTTGCAGTGTTTGCCTAGTTGCTATGTTTGGCACTGTTGGTGGGATTTGGGCTTGTCTTCTGCGCGTTCAACTGTTGTGTACAGGCGCATGTGAGGAACATGGTCTGTGTGCATAATATTGTGGGTGCGTTTCGCAAAGGTCTCCCTTGCCTTTGGTTCGCTGCGAGTTGGCAGCATAGACGACTAGCATAGTGCAAGCCAAAGGCTTCACCATGTGGGAGCTGCATTTGCTGGTATGCGTTGAAGAACTGCCAGCCAATGTGGACTCTGGTGCGCTTCACAGTGGTGCTAAGCGCTTCCCCCCTGCTTCCATTTTCAGATGCTGACGGGACCAGTACCGAAAAGAAGGAAAGGGGCAGCAAAACAACGACCAACAGGTAGAGCTCGGCTAATTTCTTGTGCTGCTGGGGCAATATGCCATACTTGGTCAATCGCACTGCCTGTTGGCCAACTGGTCGTGCGTTGGGGACCCCTTGTTTAGGGCATGCTTAGACCCTGTGTGTTCGCAACTGTCTTTGCTTAAGGATGCTGGCCTTTCTTTGGTGTGCTTGGTATGTGCACCATGGACATGATGTTTCAAGGCATGCTAATGAACATGCGTGTTCACAGACACCAAACGAGAAGGGCTTATGAAGCAGCTGGGGATTTCAGGTAGCAAGGGCACCCCCAAGAAATTGTCTATGACGGGGTCGAACCAGCGAATCATGAACGCCCCATTGGTTCAGACAGCGAGTTCAGGTGCGCGAGCTGTGGGTGTTTTCACGATTGGCTTCCATTCCCACTCGTTGGTACGGCTGTGCATGATTCTAGGCATCCAATCACTTTGATGGAACAGGTGCAACATGGCTATGTATCCCTTGACTGGTGTGGCCGAGCCCTGGATCGCGCGTTGTGTACTGAGTGTGTTTCCTTCAATGAACTGGACGCTCTGCCAGTAATGGCGGCCTGGTGCATAGCCTTGGGATTCCGAGCTTGGTTTGAGCAACTCCTGTTTCCTTGCTGCCCCAGGGAAGAGGAAACCCCCAGACTTGTGGGGCGTGCCCAGCGCAAAGAGGCGACCTTTCTAGAGCCCTTGGGGCCGAGTGCAGTTCTTTCGACGGTGGCGACAACAGATGCAGATGGCAGAGATGTTTAGTGATTCTCCGTACTGCTCATTGTGTGTCTAGAGTAGCTGATGATCAAGTTCATTTCATTGACACATTTTCAGCATGCAAGCAGTTTTGAGGCAGGGTAGACGGGGATATGGTGGGAGGGGTGCATCAGAAGCATCTGCGTGCATTCCTTCAAATGAAAACCGGAAGGACAGCTACTGTTGCTGTGGCGTTGGCGCATTGCAAGAATGGGTCAAAAGCTGGGGTTCCATTAGTAACCCTGGGCTTCTATTGTTTTGCACAAGTCCGCCCAACAGCGAAAGACAGTTCTCATGAGCTGGCACCGTCACTCGCAATGGCAGGCAGCATTCGGCTGCGAAGGGTGTCTCCCTCGTGCGTTAGACCTCCCTATGAGGTGCCTGTCTTGGCTCTTCCGGCTGTGGAGTGTAAGGTGGCAAGGATCAAAGGCGCCCCTTGTGTTCCCCTGGTGGGCGGACTCTAATCCCTGCAGAGCGCAGAAGCACTGCCACTAGTGGAGGCAATCATGCAGCTGCAATGTTCACGGGTTGGGGACCCACAGACACTATTCAAAGCGTATGACATGGGAAATGAATTTTCAGTGCAGCTTGTGGCTAGTCTTCATGTAGAGACAGTAAAGCGAGAACAGCTGTGCAATAGTATGCACTTCGGAAGCACTTTACGTCACAAGTCGTTTTGGGTGATTTTGCATGCGCAATTTCTTTAAAATAAACTGGGCACGGCTCTTCCTAAATTGTGGAATGTTTGGGTCGGCAATGAACACGATATGGTACCCATACAGTGCTTTCGCAAAAGCTACTGCCACCTGAGGTCCAGGAGGCACTGGAACGTTGGCCAAATTTTAACTGCAACAGCAAAACCTCGATGCCCTCCAAGGCTATGAACTGGAGCATTGCCCTAACCTTGATGTGCCGCGGTTGTTGGCCGTGTGTTTGGCAGGTCGCATTTGTGTGGTGTGCTGAGCAAGTGGCCCCTTCTTCGACAGCACTTCGGGGAACCCTTTGCAGTTCACTAGTGTGCTGGGCCTCGGGTTGGGACACAACCCAGCCTGACCTGCCCCTTGGGTCTGACATGCACCTCACCAAACCCTCTCGCGAAAAAATCGCCTATGCCTTGCATTGCCAGACCCATAAACACAATGTGACCTGGCCTGCCTTGACCTGGCGTGAAACAGCGGCGGCTTCGCACAACCAACCCACATTATTGGCACATTAAGCGGCTTCGCCGCTTGCGTGCTTCAAACCATGCACTTTGACCAGAATGAAGGCCTTTTCTGATGAGCCTTTCGCCATTGCGCTTTGTGTGGTTCCCCGCTGTTCAACAAATGCGACGCACCAACTTGGTGGGAGTCGGCCGGTGAAGCCGTCCTTGGCTGCCATTTCGCTTTGGACCATCCGGTTCCCGGGCGACGCCAGTCATGGGCGATATAGTGGCCATAGAGGAGGCTTTCAAGCGGGTGTCTTCGATAAAGGGATGCCTTGGGATGATGATCATGAACAGCGACGGAATCGCCATCAGGACGACGATGGAGAATGACGTAACAGTGCATTGTAAGCGGGCGGGCTATGGCAGCAAAGATGTTCAATTGCAAGTTGCTTCCTTGCTGTAGAATGCGGTGAGCTCGTTCTGAATGAGCGGGGCGTGCCTTGATGGTCACCTAAATGCCGAACATTCTTAGGACCACCCGTTCCTTGCCGTGTCGACTATGCATCAGGCAGCATGTTGCCCAGGGAATTCACCTTGGTTGGCAAGTAACAGTGGCCCTCCGCAAACATGCGAACTTTGTGCTGGCAACATTCGTAACGCCACAGCCTGAACTATTTGCTGGAGTTCTTGCACGTACTGTGCTTGGTAATTGGTTCACTCACGGACGCTTGATTCAGGGCGCTGCTCCAAGGGTGCAGTCGGCATTGCCGCCGTGCGGCAGAGATTTGCGTGAACTGGCAGTCACAAACACCTTCGGATCCCTTGCAGATGCAGCGCTGGTGTCAATGTTCATCAAGAAAGCAAGAAGTGCGATCCAAGCACTGGATGGTGAAGATGAGGTGCAATGTGCGCGGATTCGCTCAAAGAAACATGAGATCCTGATCAACCCTGATTTTGGCAAAAATCACGAGTACTACTTGATAGTGGTTCAAAACCCATCGACAGGGTGACTTGGCCGCACAGCTTACGTCTGGGAGGATGCCCGCCTGCGGTGACTGCGTCATCCGGTGCAGCCAAACGAAAATGTGCAGTGTTTCTTAAGTCGAGGAGCCACGGGGCGCACCTGGGTATCAATTCCGAGCAGTGGTTGCTGGCAAAGCACCAGCAGTGCCGGACAGCGAGGTCGAACGAAAGCTGAACATGAGGCGGCGTTGGGCCCACCAATATCAACTGCATCTATCACATGCCTCAGGATGTGCACATTGTGGTGGGGGCAACGTCCGAGACAGCCACAAAAAGGCGACGTTGCAACAGCTGTGAAACTGCGTTTCTCTGTAATTGCAGAACTTGTGCTCGCCAAGCATCATGGCACAGACCTTCGACCGCCACCGCAGAGGTCGAGATTCCTCGGGCTTGTCGTGCCCCCCAAACATACCAGCTCTCAGGTAGATGCACCTCCGTTGCGGAGACCTCTTGGCAATTGATGACAAACTCCTCTCCACAATTGGCGGAAGAAACACATCACAAGTGACCAAAGTCCATCACCACGCTGCGGCGTTTTGGTTCTTCCATTCTGGCCACCTCACACACTGCAGCTTAGTGACACGCCAGGGGAAGAGAATAGCAGCAGGAGTGCCGCGATGAGTGCCTCGAGAATAGCAGCAGGAGTGCCGCGATGAGTTGCCGTCATTCCATGTGATAGCAATGCGCGTGGGCCACACAGGTTGCCGGCGCTCACGAAACAAATCTAAGCTTGTCATGCGGATCAGTGCAACTGAAGCTATAGCAATGCAGGGACCTGTAGAGAACACCTACAGAACTCCCGCATGGGCATCGAGCAACGCATAGCATCGTCTCGTACCTGCGGAGACTCGCCACTGATTCAGAGGCAGGGTGAAGTGGTTCAGTCGACGACCCATCTATATGATATACATGTATATCTATGCCACATCTTTGCCGCATGTGTATGCGGATCTCAGAAGACATGCACTTCGAAAACACAGGACATATCCTTCTAGGGCGAGGGGGTTCGGAACCTAGCGATGGTCGTCTGGTTTAGAACTGACGCAGGAAAAGATCTTCAGAGCCCGTCGCTGTGTTCCAGGGTGGATGGCGTGATGGCAGGTGTGCTGCAACTGCAGGGCGGCAGAGACACCCTTTGCTTCCAGATGCATGAGCATTGCGCACTAAACAATCTTTGCACTCTGAACAATTCTTTTGATGACATGATGTGGCGCGTCAGTGCACAACATTAGCTATCGTGCGATGGTGGGCGCAGAAGTGGCGGCCATGTATCGATGTTGTCAGTGATCCCTCTTCCCAGACCATTCACCTTGCGGGTGGGTGATGCAGGCTCTGGTCGCTACTGCTAAAACCCCATGCCTTTCTTGATCCCTTGGGCCTGCCGCCCCCTTGCGCAATTTCCGATGGCCCCATCAGGCTTTCAGATAAACCTGGCTGCCCAGCCATCCCTTGGGTGCTCAAGTCCTCTCCAGTTTCAAGAATTTCTTCTTCAGCTCGCCAGGTCAAGCATTCATCAGCTGCACATGCCGTGGCCTCTTCTGGCCCTGCTGCCCCCAGGCCCACCCGGTTTAGGGCGATTTCGCCTGCGGCGTGGGTGCGCTGCTCTGGATCCAAGAACCAGGATGTCCATGGGCTGGTCAAAATGGAATCGGCGATTTCAGTGGGTGGGGTTTTCGATCCCGATTGCGCGTTCAGATTGGGTGATATTGGGTGCAGCGCGGCCTTCTTGGTGTTGCCCTGCAGTGGGCAGATCATCTTGTCACAAACTACCGGAAACGGCAGCAGTATCACTCAAGCACAAACAACAGCGAACAGATCTTGACTTCGAATTTCTTGGAGAGTGCAGCAGCGATTGCAGGTCTGCATCCACACCCACCCGTTCTCAACCTTCTAGGGGTACCTGGTTACCAGATAGCGAGAACGATCTAAATTTACCTGATCTACTGCTGTGATACACAACACACGGGCTCCTCCCTGACTGAACGGAAATACAAAGATCATGAATCCCACGGCCAACACCACCTTTCTGTTTGCCGGTGCCACCGAGTAGGCTAGCCTGGGGTCTGGCCTTGTCTTCTCTTTGTTCGTTGCCCTCTTTTCCACGGCAACCGCTGGAGTCTCCAAATCGCGAGGGGCACCTTCGGAACGCCCTGAATATGCCAACGTAGTTCTACCATCGCAGTTCTCACAGGTCTCTGGGTGTGCAAGTGAACTCTGTGCCAGAGTAGAGTCCCCACGTATATTGGCCGTATGAAATGTGGATGAAATATTACCAAGCAACTGGTGGTAACAGACGCAAATGCAGCCTGCACGGAGCTCCTCGGTTTCGCTTCCATGTGGGGAATCTTGTGCTAAATGCGTCAACAGGTACCACTGTGCTAAACATGAATATTTCCCAACTCATCTGATGCGGCAAGCCAAGATGGTTTTGAATCTGGAGATAAAGCTCTTAAAAGAGCCACACAGCCCATTGCACCCCAATTGCAAATCACTACCTTGCCACCAGCTTGCAATCAATTCCTTGCTGCAAGCCTGGCAATGTTTTTGTAAGGATGTTGCATCAAGGATGTATTCTCTGCAAGGCAACTTGTAGGCTTCCTGGGTTCATACTAACAGGTATGTGCCAGTCCACACAGGAAAAAGCCTTCACGCTTTGTAGCAACCGTGCTGAGCATTGAAAATGCCAGCAATTCACAATGGATTGATGGACCAATGCTTCTGTATGAGGTTTTTGATGTAAACAGCACATAATAAGTTCACACTCTATATTGAGTTCCGGCAACGAGGACATTTTGGCTTAAGCTGAGAATGGGTGGTCACACCTGATCAGTGCATTGCCTGTTCGTAGGAATTCCCTTTGGAAGAAGACAATGTCCAGGCTCCAACTTGCTGTGGCTTGCGGGTTCCGGAGGGTTTGTTAGCGTTTTATACTCCTGGCTTTGCACACTGGCAATGTTGCACTGCTTGCTAGCCCTAAACGTTGGCAATCGAAAAATGTCAATGCACATCTCCCAAATTAGGTGCAGTTTGGAGATTTCAAACCCCTATGCCATGATCAATGCATTGAACGAAGGGCAGATGATGAGAACATGGACATTTTCAGTGTGGCCCCAACCTGAGGGGTTGCCTTTGGCCCATGCTCTTGTCTTCATCGCTGCCATCGCCCCACCAAGAAGGGTAGATTGCCTGCATGTGCGTGTGCATATACCAAGATTGCCTTCACGATAGGAAGCGATGTGTCACACAGCGAACACAACCATCCTGAACAAGATGCCCTCAATTTTTTTGGACTTGTTGCAGTTGTCCCTGGCTGCAATGGGAATAACACATGTATACATGCATGTGTTGCAGGTTTGAAAGCCTTTTAGTGCAAAGGTTTCTAATTGTACCCCACAAGTTCAATGGTGCTGTGTCCATTGGAGAGGGCGTTCAGTTCATACCTGTTTTCTGTGTGGTCCAGTATTTGCACCATCCCGAACCATGGACTCCATGGCTGGGACAACCACGAATCCAAAATTTAGCTCCTGCCTCGCAACAATGCTGCTGCATCATCCAGAAGTTGTGTAAATTACTGCAACTCTGCAACAATGGAAGTCTATTATTCACAGATACCTGGAAATTCGCGGTCTCCACTTCCCTTCAGCGGCAATTGCTTCCGCTCCATTGGGGCAGTATAGGCACTCTCCTGGGTTGGGCACAAGATTTCACCATTTTCAATCGTGGACTAGTGGCAAATTTCACGAGGTAGCAGGCCACGTCCCCAGCAAATACGATCCACAGGACAGCGCAAGTTGCCTCCTGCGCACAAAGTTTTTCCAAACACAGAGAACCCGCGTAAGGAGGAATGTAGGGCAGACAGAGGGCCACGCGCTGCAGTTTCTGCACGAACCACTGACCCATATTCCTTGTCGTGGGCTCACGAGCTCCCTCTCTACATCCCGAACGTCGGCCACAAGCTGCTCGACTTGCTGCAGAATGTTCGGCAGCTCGTTTCCTACAATTTGGACCACCGCGCCTCGGCGCGCTTCGTCCCGTAGCGCGTCGACGGACAACTGCTGCTGGCCAAATCGTTCCCGCAGGGCCAGAATCCCGTAAACTGTTGCCAATTTGATCGCCTCGGGCCAGTATTCCTCTTCGTGCGCGGACAGAAATTCCTTTATGGTCTGGTTGGCCAGCAGGTCAGGCACCACGCAGCCAAACCAGACTGGTTTGGCGCCGGGAGAAGCCATTTCCGCTCTTCCTGTGCGGGCGGTTGGGCGGTTGGGCGGTTGGACGTCCTTGACGACGCCGCGGGGAGACGGCCATTTGTACGGCACGAACATCGCTGGATGGCATCTCCTTGGGACAATAGCATGCGGCCCGCTCAATGATGCCCCCAGCCGTGTCCTGCCCATCCCCCTGACAGTCAAGAGCGTTCAGCGACAGATGTTTCGGGCGCACGCCGCCGAGACGGTGCCGGACGCGGCGCTGGAAGCGGTGCGCGTCGACGTCGACGCCTTCCTGCTGTCCCTTCCGCTGGGGACCGACAGGGCGTCGGCGGAGGTCGAGGAGGCGGTGGCGCACAGGCTCGTCGCGGCGGAGATCAGCGGCATCAAGCTGCAGAAGAAAATTGCGCAGTGGTGGGGCCTCAAGAAGTCTAAGCGGCGGAGGATTAAGCTTTCCTATTCGGCTCGTTTCGTCTGCCGCTCCTCTTTGCGCCCTTTTTGTTGTGCGATCTGATCCGATTTTGGGGAGGGCGGATCCACAGGGTGAGTTTCTGGCACAGGGTGCAAGTGGCGACGGAGCTGTACCATGTGGCGGAGGATCGGCAGCTGAAGATCGATAGGCTGCAGGCCTGCGCCCGAAAGGATGGGAAGGAGGGCGGCGCAGGCGCGCAAGCCTGCAGGGCGAATCGCGAGATGCAGATGGTGCCAGGTGGGGGGCCAGGGGGTCCACCGCGATCCGAGGCGATCGCGGCCACCGGCGCGAGTTTTTGGCCAAGAGAAGGGGACGGCGGCGAGGTGAAAGCCGTCCTGATGCAACAACACGGTGAGCTCGACGTTCTGAAAAAAGAGGTGAGTTGGGGTGTCCTTTTCATCGGTGCGCAATCTTTGCGCCAATTATCTTGCCTGCAGTTTGGGACTTGTTGACCTTCACGTGTGCAAGGAACCCTTTCCACATAGACAGAAGCGCTCGCGGATTCATTTGCCCAAGCACAAGGCAGAGATCACAGTTTTGCATTGATGCTTGCAACCTGAGGGACCCCCATCATGGGGTTAAGAAGGATAACTCTGCCCTTAATCACAGAGACCTGACTTGCTGCTGCGTTTGGACATTGCTGATCGGGCTGCTGCACAGCCCGTAAACTATAGCCTATATGGGCTCGTTGATCCCACATCTGAATGGATCACGTTCCTTCGTTGTTGCCAATTGAACACACAGGCGCACTCCCCATGGTGAGCACTGAGACATACACTTCGGCATTGTTGGTTGGCTTTGCATGTTCCAGTTGCACGATGATTTCAAGTTGTAGATACACTGCTAGCGAATGATACTTGCAATAACAAAATGCACATGCACACTGAACTATATATCAAGTGTGGCAAAAGGGGTAAGTGTGATGCAGCAGATCTGGATGCTGACAGTGGCAATTGTGAAGTTTTCAGTTCTTGTAGCTATCCTGATATGCCATGTAATGGAGCTGATCCGTGCCATCGAAGTTCGTCCAGTTTGGGTGTGCTGGCCGCAGTGGGCTGAAACATCGCCAACAATAAGCAAGATTTGATCCAAGGCATGCCTGGTGCACTAACTGAGTGGTCAGGCTCTCAATGTATGCTTCCTTACGCTTTCTTTTTGTGTTATCAGTACCAAAGTGCTACTGGCAAATGTTTTGGATGCAGCCATGCCCGCCATCCCCTGTGCACTGCAGGGCTGCTGTTTTGCCCTCTGTAGGCAATGGAAGTGCACAGGATCTCTTCTGCTGAATTGCACACACTGTTTCAGCAATGCGTACTTTTGACAAATGAGGCAGTATGCAGCAGCACCGTTGCAAATTGCAAGCTGCTCCAAGTGGTTCAGAACGGACTGAAGTATATATTAGTGGATAGATTCTGTTGACGAATGTTTTCACTGCGGCAGGTCCAGTACTTGAAGAGCCAGATGCAGAGAGGTTCAGTTGGAAAGAAAGACACTGAAACTGGTGAGAAGGCACCCAACAAAAGGGCCATCGCCTATACTTGGTGCTGCCTCTTGTAGTTGTTTGATGGTGGTTGTGTTTTTGCTGTGGTTGAACCAACTTCTTCAGAAGATGGACGTGAACAAGGCACAGTTCCCCAGGATGCGTGTTTTCCCCAATGCAGCTGCCTGCCTACCAGGGATGTGATGCAAATGGAGCCCAAATGCTGGAACTCAAAGAACGCCTCCATCCAGTCTGCATGATGTTCTTTTGGAGCAAATGTGTAAAGAAACATGTCTGAAGGTGAAATTTCTTGTGTCGATCATCAGCAGGTTGTGTGGCAGTCTGCAGTCTTGCGGTTCTCAAATAGGGATGATGAAGCTCGTAATGTGATGTACGATGGGGAAAACGCCCAAGCCATGCAACGCTGTTCTGTTCCAGCATCAAGGTTTGGTTGATGGTGACAGTCGCAGCATGTCAAGTAAGCGAGTGCCTCCAGTTGCAGCTGCATCCATTTGTTTTGATGCTAGCTTTCGTTGTCTTGTTGGGCAAGTGTTCACCTGGACAATAAATTCAGCAGCACAAATTGTCAATGAGACAGAAACAAAGTGTATTGCACAAGTGCTGCATCCATGTCACCGTACACCACTGCAAAGAGCCCGATGCTGCGCAATTTTTGAAACCATGGTTTGCTTTTGCAGATTCAACATTGAAGCAGGCTTGTGGCGAGTGCGAGGTGTTGCGCGCACAGGTCCAGGAACAGAATAGATACATGGCAAGGGCTGCTGAGGAGCAGAGCCGTCTGAGATGTGCCCTTCTGGATGCAGAAACTGACCTCCAGCGCTCTGTTGTTGCTGAAGAGGCTCTCACCAAGAGAATCAAGGTGACAGTTGTGCACATTGTGGGAAAAGAGCGTTGCAGCGCATTTTGATATTGCAATGCGCACATTTTTGTTCCAAACTGGGCCATATGCGGCACGTTCCAATACCTGTTATTGTGATGCGGGTGGCATACAAGTCTCTGTTGCCCTTGCTCACCCAGGACAGAGTTCGACGACCTGCAATCGTCGGGCAGTGGGTTGTGCTCGTATGACATTAATGCGTCACATTCAATCAAGAGCCCATGTGAGCTTGTCAGAATTGTGAGTTGTTGGCATGAAAGCATGATCAATGCACTACACCATCAAAGAGAGCCAATCACGGACCGTCAGTCTGGTAGAATTAGTCTGTGGCGTTGCCATGGTGTGCAAGCTGATGCACGTGGCTGTGCTGTTATGAACCAGGAATCTGAATTGAACATAAAAAAAATTGTTTCTGCACATGGCAAGGCATTGGCGGCGGTAGAGGAAGAGAAAATGAAGAATGCCAATGCTGACATGCTGTCAGATCTCCAGAAGAGCGAGGTATGGCAACTCAGAGAAGTTATTGTGTCCATTAATGTCTCATATCCTGGATGTCGTATAGGATATGGATTCAGCAGTATCCTGGATATGGAACAGGATGTGGGCACCATATCTTGGATGCACATATCCAGGATATGCCATATCCCGGATGTGGCTCTATGTTCAGGATATTAGGCCTCCACATCCCAGATATGCTGAGGATATGTGTGTGTGTGTGTGGGGGGGGGATGTGCACTTGGGATATATCCCGGACGGATCTAGGCCACAGCAAGCCATCGCTGATTGCTTTCATGCCCTGCCATCAAACATTCACCCAAATTATGGTTCAGCCATGCAGATCCCTTGCAATCCAATGACGCTTGCCATTGTTAGTTAAGCTGTGGGTGGCGGTCTGTTCATTTGTAGTGCACTGGTTCCGGCCTGTGAATACTGCAATGTGGGCAGCAATTTTTCTTTTGCAATGTGTACTCTGAGTTTCTGCTTTGTACTGTACTGCTTTGTACTCAAAGTAGAAAATCTCCAATATGGTGCATTCAGCAGGTTATTTTTCCCTCAAAATAGAATAAGCTGATGCAGAGCAACCCCAACCGTTTCTGAAAATCTGGCGCAAGCCGCAAGTGCGTTGTGACTGGTGTTCCAGGTACAGAGGCTGCAAATTGAGGTGCAGGAGACGAAGCAACTGCTGAAGGACAAAACAGAGCAATTTCTTGAAAGTGACAGTCATCAGAACGAGCTGCAAAAGCAAGTGGCCGACAAGGCTAAACAATTGGAGGACCTGCAGGCACAGCTGAACACATTGCTGGAGAGGCTCGGGCAGCTTGAGGTGCATGGTTGTGATTAGGTGCCTGGGACATTCTATTCGCCCGAAGGGCCACCGGGAAATGTACCTGTAATGTGCGCGCACCATGAGATTTGCTGTGGTGCGCAAAGGTTGTTCGAGATAGACGGAAGCACTTAATCAGGGCCAAAACAATGGCATATTGCCTACGCACAACACCCGTTTACCCTTAACATGTTCAGGAATTGGAAGGTGCATATCGAGCATGCTGCCACAAGGAAGACGTTGAATGGCAAGCCGACAGAATGAATAAGATTCCGCAAGGGTTGGATTGTCCGAACAGAAGAGGATAGCATTCGGAACATTTGTCACGCCGCAGCTGGTGCATCACATGATAGGTACAGGCTTCAGCTCAAAGAGGCACATGCAGCAGAGAGTTGATCGCAGACAGAAGCAACGGATGGAACACAATTCTTGAGTCGTCATCTTGAAGCTGGTTATGTCTTTTTAGGGGCTGCTAAACTCCAAGGGAGGACCGCTTGAATCCAGTGCCTGCCCCTCGGTGGACGCTTCCCATGCAGCTCCTGAGCGCATTGAGGCAATTCACACAGAGCTGGCTGCGCTGAAGACAGAGCTCGCGCAGTGCAGATCGGCATCGGCATCGGATGCTCAGAAAATCTGGCAAAAGGGCAACCAGATTCAGCGCTTACAGGAAGAAAACAACGGCTTAAAAGCTGAGGTAACTTCCGTTGCCGTGGCTTCAATGAGGTACCATATGGCAGCACTGTGGCGTTTGATTAATCCATGTATCAGAACCTGGACTTTGTGACTTACCTGCTTCCAGGATAGGGGATTTCGTCTCTGCAAGTATGTGCTACGCTTCCAATGAATCAGGTAGAGAGATGCTAACTTTCACTCTGTAGTTATTATTGTTCTTCCAAGTGCACCCTACCTAGCGGAAGAATGTGATTTTCGGTGGACATACATCAGCTGTTCTTGGAAAATGCGTAACTGTGGAATGGGGCACCTTGATCGCTCCCTATTAGTCAGTAAGATCGTCGGTGTGAACAACAACTGAATCCCTTTGTTTATATGCCCATTTGATGCCTTGTGTTTGTTGCTGCAGATTTCCAGATTGAAAGGGCATATTGCCGCTGCTAGAAAGGAGTCGTCTCTTGTGGAAGAAGAAGTTTCTGCTAAGCTGCAACAGGACATAGTTGAGAAAGACAAGGCCGCGAGAGAACTAGAGCAGATGCTTTCAGAAGCTAACGTTGAGGGACACAAACATCAAACTGCAGCGAAGCGTCTGGAGAATCAAGTTCAACACTTAAAAGCTTCTCTGGATGAGGCTAACGTGAGTCTTTCTTTGCAAGTGAAGATCGCTCCCAGGAAGCGGCAAAACGCTGCTGGTTGCTTATGGGCTGGTTGTCAAGTACACATGTAGACGATCGTCTTGTGGGCTCAATCCATGTTGCGTAGCTCCAACCGCTTTCAGATAATTTCTACTACTCACAAAAGAGCCGCAAATAGCATTTTAGAAGAACTTGGTTTAGTGGGTAGCCCTTTCCGTGCAGTTTAAAGGTCTCATCTCATGTTTGGAGTTGCAATATAGACTGGAACGAATAAGTTGCGGACTGTGTGTCAGCTGTGATCGCAAAGGAGACGAATAGTGTGCCATGGGCTGCGGTATCATCAGGCGAATGCTGTGGAGACAGCTGAGCATTTGGCAAAGCTTCAGAAGGAGGCTGATGAGAGTCAGTTGAAGTGCGATTCGCTCAGTGGACAGCTGGACACAGCGAAGTGCACCACTACCGGGCTTCGCACACAGCTTCAGGAGCTCACTGAGCGGGTCGGAGTCTTGAAAAACGAAAAGGTGGGTTCCCAACAGCGATACATCACGCCAGAGGAGAAGCATTGAGGGGGGGCGTGACCTGTGCGGACAGTCTTGGCGCTGTCAGAGTTGGAACAGATATCCTCATGGAAAGTTAGCCTGCACCCATGCGTTTCTGTCGTGCACTGCGGAAGCGCCACCAGGTTTGCCACGCATGTGCGGACTTCTCATGTTTGATATTGGCTGCGCTTGGTCTTGTAAACAGCTGCGTTGAACTTAAAATAGCTGTGCGAACATCAGGAGTCCCTTAGCCATGCTGTTCGTCAAACCGCGGATCAGCTTCAAAAGGCCAAGAATGACATCAGTCATAGGGACGCAGAGATCGCAACAATGAAGGAGCTGGAAGCTGACTTGGAAGCGCAACTGCAAGCCAAGGAGGTACGCAAATTGCACACATGCCCTGGGCAGTTCCGTTTGGTGCCCAATTTCCCCACTCCCCAGATAGAACTCGTCTGCTGCCAGCCGCGTGGCATGCCAGTCTCCACAGAAAATGTGTGATTTGCGGGGCGCCTGGAGGACTACTTGCCAGTACTTGTAAAATCCATATCCATGCCATCTACCCCTGTATTCCGAGGAATTCTTTGTGCTGGGCACATATCCTTTTGCGCGTGTAATGCTCACCAAAAGGCAAGCGCATGGCGTTCGACTGAGCCAAAGAAATGGGACTGCAATTACAACAATTGCCAGAGTAGCACTATTGTTATCACATACATTGGTTTCCAATTGATTTGCTGTAGCTGCTGCATTGCTATGTTATTCCAAAGTATTGAAGCACATTAGAAGTTATTGTTAGTGTGTTTGTTTCTTTTTCTTGTTTTTGTTTTCGCTGCTGCTGCTGTTGCTGTTGTTTTATGTGATGGCGCAATCTTTTGGCGGTTATCGCCAGCTCGTGTGACTTCAGACTGGTGCTGGGCAGAGCCCGTGCTTTGGCAAGTTCTGCTGAAACGGCCCCATATGTTGCGCTGCCTCCCCGCGATTTAGCCAATGACTGCTCAACTGAGTTGGGTGGGTGGCCGCGTGGGTGGTGGGGAGGTGTGGGTATGGAGAGAGTAAATTTTCCTTTCCTCCACAGCTTGTTTTTGTTTCGAAATGCAGGCGGATTGCAGCAGCGTTCCCATCTTAAAGCGGCAGCTGAGGGACATGGAGTCCGTGTCGTCACGTCTGGAGGAACAACATCGGCTGAACGCATCGCTGAGGTAGCACACAAGATGGATTTCAAAGCGCAAGCTCGCGACCAGTTTGCGCATGCACCGGCATGGTGAACGACTGTGGCTAAGAGAACAAGCTGTCTTCATCGTGGGTACTTGAGAACAGGCTGCGCGTGGGAATCCAATTCGCCGATAACCAGCTGAACAGCTTCGACTTCTGCTTGGAAGGCTTGTAAATTTGGGTCGTTCTGCGACAGGCACCAGTTGGGAGGGGAGACCGCTCATGGCGTGATTTCAAGGCGTGTAATTTGCTCACAGTGTTTCCGCGTTGGACAGGAAGATTTTGGCAATGACGTGGGAAACGTCAGATGTGAGGAATGTATGTTTTGTCGTTCCGCACGAAAAATGTCCCACTTCTGTTCCAGACACGGGGCACGGGGGAAATGGACAGAGACTGTCCACGTCCGCCGGGATATCCCTCCAGTGTACTTGCTGCCACTGCTCTCTCGCACTGCTGCGAAACGTTCGTTTTGGCCACATGGGAACAGGTCGCACTGGGGGAGCCGTGTGGCCCTTTGTGTTCCCGCCAAAACATTCGCGAACCTCCAACGACAAGTTCTCCTTTTTTGGGCTAGCGCAATGCCCCCATAATCATGCCACTTCCTCAAATGGTTTAGTCCTTGCTTTACCAAAGTCTGTTGTGTGGCTCTTCCGCAGGTCCGAAATTGTAGGGTACCAACGTCGCTTGGACGCTGGTGATCAAATGATGTCAGAACTCGAGAATCGGCTTTCTGATGCAGCTGGGGCCGGTGCAGGGAAATCATCTGCTCCAAGCGCTGCATCGTCCATGCGACGTCTGCAGGTGAGTGTGTGAAGGCGCCAGCAGAGGTGGCCACCAGCTGGAAGGCAGCATTGATGGTGACGCTTGCAGGAGTGCGATAAGAACTGCAGCGGACCTGCCACATATTCTCGATGTGCTTTCAGGCAAATGCGGTACAAATCCAGCACTGCAACAATTCAAGCAGTCGCACAGTTGCTCATTGCTCGGTTTCCTTGTGTGCTGCAACGTGCGAGGCGTTTGATCAGCCCAGGCAAGCGAGAAATGGGAGTTAACAGCGTGCCGACGATTTGCCCAGAACAGGACAGTTGGCCCATGGTGTGGGGCAAGTGATGGATGGCTATCTATTCCACCACCCTTTGCACTCCTGGCCACTTAATCCGGTCAGCCACCAGCACGTAACCACGGTAGGTAGTCCGAGATATTTATGGAGACAAACACTGTGGAGGCAAAACTTGCCACCATGGCCTGTTTGCAGGGGCAAAAAGCTGGCCAAATGCGATCCAACAGAAAGCAGCTGCCTTTTCCCCACACAGAAGAAAATGGGCTGTACATTCCTCCTCGCAGCCCTTAGTGGCAAACACCAGCGGGGAACGGCACTCTTGGACCAGCTAAGCATGCCGCGCATAGCAACATTTCCGCCCGCTGTGGACTGCCCTCCATGAACCCTGTCTCTCCAGCTATATTGTGCGCTCCGTCAATGTGTGCCCATGGCATGGTGGGTCGGCTGTCAGAATCGCATAGCTATATTGGGGCTGTTCCAGAACCGGTTCATTCCTGGAGTGCGCATCACACATGCCTATGTCGGCCTAGTCATTTTAACGAAGTCAGGCATTCTGAATTCATTTATTTCAGCCCGCCGCCGCAAAGATGATGCACGAAATGCACCACCCCCCTCTGCCAGGGCCTGCTGTATGCTCGCGAACGCGATTTAAGGAGGTGCCAGCTGAGAACCGAAGAGTTGCAAGCTCGGCTGTCGTGGTGGGAGACCAATGCCAAGACAGAGGTTGAAAGTGAAGGTCCGAGATCGACTCAGGCGCTGCGAATGGAGCACCGCTCACCAACAAGCGAGTGGTGAAATGCTCCGATTGTGGCGCTTTTAGTGTGTGAACTAGCTTGTTGCCTATAGCGTGCACGATGAGCACCCACATAAGTGGCAGGCTCCTGTGCAATTGTGAACTTGAAGGGGCTGATTTTTCATTTGAAATGGCAGTGGCAAATGGGGCCTCATCGTCATGTAGTTGGTCCCTTGCACGTCCACATTTATGGATGCGGTTTGGAACGCAAGCAAGCAGGCGATTGTACTGGAAGCATGTAGCTCTTCTTCATTTTAAAAATCGTTTCAAATGGGCGGCCCTCACAACGGAGTGAGCAAAACGCACAAGTGTCTTGGCGCATCAGGCAGACTATCAGCACCTGCCAGCAACGGGTTTTGATTGGTTGCGGTGCTCCCATTGCCGAGTTCAACAGTAAGAGGTTGAAAGCACTCCCCACGTTGGATGTGGGGGCGATGTCGCTGCTGTGCAGACACCGCAGTGCGGAAAGGGACGTTTTGAAAACAAACTTTGGGGCAGCTGGTTGGGTACGCTTTCCCGAAAACTTCAAACCAAATCTGTGAATCATGCACTGCAGCAGTGCCTTCGCCTTGGTGCGGCGTATGCCAGGCTAGCTGCTCGGATGTGGGGCCCAGCTGTATGCCCGCCGTGCTGCTCTTCTTCTGGGGGCCTGACCATCACGCCACCGTCGCTGTCAATGCAACTGCCTCGGGTCTGGCCTCAGAGCTGGAGGGAGGGTTGTGACAGCTCGTGCTCCCCACAACACTGCTTGCCGCTGATTTCGAGGACGGCACGGAGAAGCCAGGCGATGGACTGGCCTGGGAGCCAAAAGACGCCGGGCTGTCGATCTCTAGTCGGATCCCCTCCTTGTGGCCACTCTGGATTGGGGAGGACACGTAGACGCTTTGCATGTCCGGCAGTTTGTCTAGATTGCCCCAATTCAGTTTCTTCTCGGCGGCTGGCTGTTCCCCGTGTTTGTCGTCGACGACTGAGAAGACGGAAGGGGTGAGGGGCTGCGGTGTGAGGGGCCCCAGGGGCCCCCGCGACGGCGGACTCCATCGAAGGGCTTCTATGTCCATGAATGGCGTCGGCCTGCAGCGTGTTGTCTGTTAGGCACCGCGCAACGACAGGTTTCCTGCTGCTGCATAGCCTGGTTCTTTCCCACAAGCAAACGGGTGGAACAGATGAACCCGCTGTGCCCGTGATCTGCATCCCCATAATGCAATTGCACAGAAGGCGCACCGACGATCAGCGATTGCGCTTGCAGGCTCTCACATGGGCTGTGTGCTTGCCCATCCAGTCGCTGATATCATTTCCGCGCCGGCCAAGTGCGATTGCGTGATTCCCATGCACCATCGGACCGGGTGTTTGGGTTGTTCGAGCACGAACAAATGCGTTGTGTTGACAGCAAGAACGGATATCTAACAGCTTGATCATGTGTGTCACTCTTAGTACATTTTCAAAATCTGGTGGATCGTGCAAGTGCCTACCAAACAAAATGGAAAGTAGTGCAGAGGAAAGCCGTCGACCCGCAGTTGCAGTTCTCGCAATTGTGTTAGTCGCAAGTGGCAAGACAGTGGCACAAAAGCTATAACATCAATACTGGTGGACGACGGAAATATTGCATTAGGTGTGAGCAGCGGAACTGCGAATGTGGCTGTGTGCCACGATATTCTTTTGCTGCCTTGCAAATGGCGACAACGACGAGCCCATGCCTCTTTTCGGTGTCTGTGTGGGTTCTTGACTTGAAGACTGCTTAAATTTGTTGACGCCTTGTGCTGAATTTCCCAATCTCGGCTTGGAGTTTACGAGGTGCGCACGTGGCACAATGCTACAACGAATCGGCTGTGGACAGCTGTGGCTTTGACTCACGCTCTACTGTCGTCGGTGCACTCGTTGATCTCCCGATACAGCAGGACTCTGTCGGAGTCGTCGTTCAATGGCCTCAGGGCACGACCCTCAGCCACGATTCCTTCCAATCTGACGACGTGCGTTTTAGGAAAACTCCCGTCTGGGGCGGCACATTCTCTCAATGCTGCCGCCGGAGGTTGTGCCTTGGTAGGGGGCATCTTCCGCTTGTTGATGGAGTCCTTTAGCGGCAGGCCTGAGACGTCTCCCACAGCTGGGAGCACTTCTTTGTCTTGCATGGGTGCACAGCTCACACCGGAGACCGTTGGGGGCGTAAGCGTGGGACATCTGAGGCACGTCTACATGGCAGCTAGCACAGATGCAGAATTACCCACGTAGGACTGGCAGGTGCTTCTTCACATGCACGGCCAAAGCTGTCAGGTGGCCAAGGCACCTTACCAGGACAATACCATCGTGGCGGTAGGAGCGACTAGCCTGCAACTAGCTCGATGACTGCAGCGAAGAGCGCGTTCCCAGGGGACAGTTGCGCGCATGTATGTTCGGATAATCGCACAACTCATAACCCCGAAATTTTGACTCCGGAAGCATGCTGCCAACTGGATTGTAGATTATGAGCTCAAGCAGATGGTTGAGTCAGAATCGGCCCTGGGGGGGAACCAACCTGCGTCTTTCCCAGAATAAGCGTGCCCGTCATGTTGGATTGCTGCACTTCCTCAGGTGCCTTCTTCCTGGAACCGGACTCAAGCTGGGGACAAGTGGAGGCATATTTATCAAAGAACGGTGGTTGGCTGTGCCAAAACTGGCGTTGAGGAGTATGTAGAAGTCCACCTGGCATTCAGGTTATATGGAGGGCTGCCTTACCTGAGCAGGACATGTACGACATCAAGTGCAATGTTCTGCGCTCGCGGGTTGTGTGTTTCAATGGCATCTTCTGTTGTTCCTCTCGGAATATTCCTGAGAAGATGCACGCCCAAAGTCGAGCGCCCTTGCTTCAGATACCATAGACTTCGATTCCTACTGGCAAAGTTATTATGTGAAAACGTTTTGCGCCACGGAGCAATGAGCCTTATGCATGATAAGATACCTTTCTGCACATACATTCCCATCGTGCATGCGAGTGCAAAACTGCTTTCCTTTTGCTGTTAGTGGTATGCGTGTCGGCACAGGGATGTTTCGCGGACTACGCTGCCACTTTAGCTCCTTTTCCGGAGTTGGACAACGAGAAGAAGGCGCCCACCAAATAATTTGGAGGATTTCCCATTGCACAGCAGTCTGCGTGGCAGGATTGTGTGCCTATGGATGGTGCGATGGTCGGCGCGCTTGGCTCCCAACGCCGACGGAAAAGGCGCTGCTGGCCAAAGCGAGTTCATTTGGTGGATGTGATTTCGGCACCTTGAATGCCTTGTTGTCTAGGACGCTCCCGTCCAGCAGCGTGATAGCCACTGGGTGCGCCGAGAAGGCCTGTGCCGATTGCGCTGCATCCTCGGGCTGAACTACGGGAACTGTCCCAGATCCCTTCGGAAGGGACCTGGCCGCACTGGAAGCAGACGCGCAGTCTCCAGACATCGCCTCCCGGCAATGTGCGACGGGGGCTTCGGGATTGACTGACTTTGACCCTTGAACAGCTTGGCGCTCTGCGTTTGTATTTGGCGTTCCCCTGCCACTGCGGTCCCATTAAAAACCGTGCAGCGAAAGGTGTGCAGCGCTCGAAAGCAGCGCGGGCGCTCTGAAGATTTGCCGCAGTTGTCGCTCAGAGTCCTATCAATGCGAAGTTTCGAGTTGGGATAGAAGTTCAGATTAAAACAAGCGCATTTCGCGCATTGGATGCCAGATTGCTCTAGTGACGCTTTGCTACTCCTTGTGCTGTGTAGTGTTGCGTCCGTTTGTCCTGAAGATTCGATCCAGATGCTGCAAACAGCTCGACAATGGTCCATTCGTACCGCTGGCGTTTTCATGGGCTTTGTAGGGCGGAGGATATTTTGGTGCGCACCGGGTTTCTTGTGGCACCCAAGCACAGCGTCGGAATGTGTATCAAGAACGTTTCGATTCAGCCGCGTCTCAGCGAGGAAAGACATGAGCTATAGTGCTGGCAGATTTGCTGTTTCTGCAATG